TCTTTTGCTTAAAATTATTTATTTTGGTTTCATTATCCCATTTCATTGTAAATTTTGTTTATTGGTTTATTATTGGGAACGATAGTTACGTAATATACAAGTCAAATGGTTTGAAACTAGACCTAAGAGAAAACGACAAGAGCGTCGAGTCATACATACGCTTGCCCTAAAATTAGGACGACCGAATTGGGAAAGACAACGACACTGTCTTCTATTTATTGGACACTAAGTTAATGTTGCCACGTGCTATTAATACCTTCTTATCATCTCTTGACACTTTTGTTTACGTTCGAATCATTTTCAAAAAGTAGAGTAAATGTTTACTATATATAATTATGTATCACCACGCTAAACTCCACAAACAAAGAGATTTATCGTGTACGTAAAAACTATAACCTCTATGTGAATTAATAATTATATATACTCGATACTGAACTCTTAAGAATTGGATCCTTGACATATCGACATGGTAACGAGATTTTGGAGTCATGCTCATCACTCATCCACATGGATTCTCGTGTAAGGTGTAGTCATATAGTCGAGGCGGAATTAATTGATATATTTGTTAGAAAGTATAATCACTAAATGGTCCCCGTCGAATTCTTCCGCTAGCATTTGAATGATACATTGAATATCGTCATTCCTTATACTTACAAAAGTTTCCCCCTCACTCATTTTCTAACCAGCACATATTTAAGTACATGGTACATGTATTATATTTATCGCTGCCGATAATCAGTTTGAGAATATGGCTCGACAACGATATACTTATTGTGAAACAAATATGTATATATTTTTTTAATCTTTGTTTAGTTTTCATTAATGATTTCAATTCGTTGATATTTACCCAATTTTATGAATCTTATTAATTACTGTCATCCAATTAATTAAACCATAAATGGATATAACCCTAATTTTTCTTTCCAAACTAAAAAAACAAAAAAAGATAACCCCAATGAAGTGGAAAGTGAGGAGTGACGCAATACCTTGTAAGTTAACATGACTTGAGAACTGAAAGTTGGAAGAGCATTGATGCAAAGCAAAGTAGGTCCATAAGAGTTGGTGCCTTCTTATTCAACTTGTCCTTGTTTCGTTTCTCCACTCAAAACTCTTCAACATGGATGTGCTCACTACTCATTTTTAGG